CTCCCCCTCCCGCACGGAGGGCGGCCCCGCTCCGCCCTCCGCGCCCCTCACACCGCCACACACCTCCCGCCCGTCCGCTCTACGGGAAGCCGAGGTGGTCAGCCCCCCCTAAAAATACACGCCCTCGAGTCCCGCGCGACCCGCCACCCCGACCCCTGCCCGCAGCCCGACCCGGCATGCGCTCACCGCGAAGCTCCTTCAGCCGCTCGGCACTGCGGGTCCCGTTCGGCGTGAGCCTCGCACTCGGCGGAGAGGCCCCGGAGAACGGCGCGGGGCACAGGCCCACCGGGGCGAACTGGCAACCTCCTCTGCACTCCCCGAGCACTCTCAGGCCCCGGTGCCGACACAGGGAGGGAGGAAGGGAGGGAGGGAGGGAAACTCCGAGGGGGAAGGGGAGGGGGGGAAGATGGAGAAACCGTCTCCGCCGCCTCTACTGCCGCGGCCGCTTCTCTGTTACCCGGGAAATCCCGCCCACTCCCCGGCCCGCCCCGCTGGGGGAAGGCTCAACCTAGCTCCGCCACTGGACATACTACCCGCCCGTCACACACTGAGCCAATCACTGCGCCCCGCCTGCAGACTGCCCGCCCCTTCCCCCGGCGAGAGGGGAGGGGGAGCCGCTCACCTTCTCCACGCCCCTATTGGCGGGGAGCGTCCCTAACTCAACCCCGCCTATTGGAGACGGATTGCTGAATCCCACCCCCAAGCCGTGACATTATTGGAGGAGGGAAGGAAGCTCTTGACACCTCATTGGAGGGCACCACAAGTCCCGCCCCACAGCGACTCAACCACAGGCCTAACAAATGGGCTCCCGCCTCCGCCGGCCGTCGCATTGGAAGACTACCTCGGGCTCTTTCACGGCCCCAGGAAGGTAAGTAACCGATGTGGGGTAAAATGTCCGTAAGTGAAGCTGGCTCCTCCTACTGCACTGTCGGGCCAGGCCCCGCCCCCGGCGGGGGGATTGGGTCTCCCGGCGCCGGTTGGAGCCTCCATTGGACGCGACGCCCGTCCGGGAAGGCGCCGAGTCCACCCTGCGCGGGGAGGCTGAACCTCGGTAGTCCTTTTGTGGAATGTTTACACTAGAGACGAGCGCGGCGTTCCAAGGTCCCGGGCCACAGCCCAGCCCTGAGCCCCGGGCAGCGCTTCCACCCCGCCAAAACCACGCCAGAGGACCCCATCGTTCCCTGTGGTTTTCACACCGCCGGGAAGGCCGGCCGGCCGCCCAGATCACCAAGTGCAGTACAGAATAGAGATCCGAAGCTCAAATCGCAGCTCCACACCTCGAGGGGCTGAGAGTCCGCCTTCAAGGGTGGCCACACTGTTCTAACTCGAGACTCTCTCTCGCTGAACCTGAACATGCAAGCCTAAAAGGGCGGAGATAGCCCAAAGGGCGGCCCCGAAGGCCACCGCCCTGGCAAGCCTCCGGAAGGCGGAGCGGGAAGCCAAGTGCATACGTGAAGTCCCCCGTAGGTCTTGGGGACAACCCCGGGCTGGGGGAACCAAGATACAGTGGGAAAAGATCAAGGCAGACCCCGGTATAAATGAAACTTGGGGATACCCTCAACACGCAGAACAAGGATGGAAATTCCAGACTTGGGGCGGGGGAAGGGAGAGTAAAAAAAAAAAAAACTTAAGAACGCCCCTGCACGGACAAGCGCCAGTAATCTCAGCTACTCGGGAGGAGAAGGCAGCAGATCGCTTGAGCCCGGAATGGAGGCCAGACGGGGATACTTAACAGAGCCACAAAAAAGGCGGGGGTTGCGGGGGGGAGGACTGTTGCCGGCCCAAGTGTGTTAATGGCAGACCCCAGGCCTTCCGAGTATGTAAAAATGTCTGCAATACGAATAAAAGTCCTGGCGATGTTTCCTAGTTGCTTTGATTAATTCACCAAACAGGGTGTGGACCCGGTGCTGGCCAGGCTTTGGGGGTGGGGGACCGACGCTGCTCGGCGCCAGGACAGGGGGGCGGGACTAAGTCTTCCCGCTCACGAGCAAAGAGACTGGGCGGCCCGGGGAGCCGATTCCTAGGTCCAAGGTTGTCCTGCTTCCGCAATCCTGCGGGGCCCGGCAGGAACGAGTGCTGGCAACAGGTGGGCATAAACTCCCGGGTAATTGTGCCAAGCCCTGCCCCAGGATGGAGCTCTAAAAATAAGTCAAACCCCCAAGCCAAACCGCTCCGAGGTGTCGAGCAGGCGGCACTCCAGCAGAACGGTCCGAAAGCCGCCTTTAAGTCGGGTCGGGCACACACCTCGGACCCTCCCTTCAGGCCAAGGCGGCCCTCCCGACGACCCCAGATCTTTGGGGACGCGGCAAGTTCTAAATGGCGCCCATGGAGGAGGGCACCTGCCCGGTCTGGGGCAGGAGACGCGGCCGGCGCCGGATTCTGCAGGTTAATGGGGCTCGAGGAAGTCAAGGACCGCAGCGGAAACGGCCATGCCAGGGACCAGAACTTCAGACTTGGGGGGACCAAGGCAGACAGAAGATCCCAAACCCGCTCGATCCCGACCCCCAGGGCTCACCCGAGGGCCGCCCGACCTCCAGCCCGGCCACAATCTTTGTGTGCCTCCCCGCCCCCTTCTCCCAGGGCGCCGAGCCCGGGACTTCCGGGCGGGCGGGCAGCGCGGAGCGGCCGGGTGGACCTCACACATGTGCCGGGCGCGCTCCCGAGCCGCGGCAGGAGGGGGCGGGGAGGGGAGGACTTCCCCCGCCCCACGGGCCCCGGACGGAGGAGGCGGGCCTTACTCATTCCGCCAATCAGGCGTGGGGGCGTGGCCGCACGTCTTCCGAAAGGCCCCGGAATCCTCCCTCCGCCCTCAATGGGGGGGGGAGAAAATCCTAGCAACTTAAACTCCAGCCCGACCTCCCGATAGGCGGAGCACTGGGGAATCCCGCCCAATCCGCACGGGGGAAGGGGAAAAGGGAGGCTCGCCCAGCCAATGGAAGACAAGAGGAGGCGGAGCCTCCGGGGGAGCCCGAGGTGGGTGGAAGGGAGGAAGCGGCCCCGCCCCTCGGGCCCCCTCCAGGCCGATTGCACAAGCCCAAGCCGAGGAGATAGTAAACAGTCTGGGCCGCAGAGTGACGGCGGGGGCAGCCCGCGTTCCGGGGACCGGCTCCCCGCGCCGTGCGGCGGGACTCCGCCGCGCCGCACCCCTGCCCGCGGCCGCCATCCCAGCTGACAGGCGCGCCCCTCCCCGCCCACTAATGCATTTCCTTCTCCCGAGCCCGGGGACTGTTTTCCCAGTTTCCGACCTTCACTGCCTCGGTTCGGGCCGTCCCCCGCCCCCG